TGAATCCTTCCCGTGTCATTGTGTGTACCCCTTCCCACAGTGAAAAGGGACTCGGGCCCCTTCTAGGTAGGAGTGGGGGAGAATGGGATGCTAACATTGTGCAGCACCTACTGTGTGCCCCAGCTTTATCTCAGTTTCACAAGCCTTAATCCCTGTGATGCAGGGAGAGGGTCCTTATTCCCATTCGCACATGAGGAAACAGCGTGGCTGGAGGTGAAGAGACTGGGTTAAGTGAGCGGTAAAGCCGAACCTGTTTTCCATCATCCAGATAGGCAGCTGCAGGAGGGTATTGTGGGGGCCACTCCTTGGTGGGGGGTTGGTGGCCAGTGCCAGTGTTGAAGCCCCCTCCCCCATGGCTGAGATCCACTCCTGCCCAAGGACCTCCTGCCTTCCCCCAGTAGGGGGCGCGGGTAAGGCCGCCAAGCCACGCCCCCTCCTCTGTGTTTTGGATCCTGAAGGCTGGAGGGAAAGAGCGCTAAAAGGCCTGGGCCAGATCTCCATCCTGTCCTGGAAATTGCGGATGCAATCTGTTCACACCCATCCCCACCCCCAAATCGGCCTCTGCAGCCTACAGGAGTTTGTAGAGCTCAGGAGGCACCCCCCCACACACACTCACACACTGTAGGAACAGAATGTAAAAGCCACAGTTATTATTTTGTTTCGATTTGTGGGGTGGGGCAGGGAAGTTGGAAGCAATCAGTAGAGGAGACAGAGATGGGAGCCCCTTTCTGTCCACATATTGGTAGTGTGTGTGCCTGGAGACTGGGGAGACAGGGAGGTGTGCCCCTCCCTTCCGCTCCTCTTCCACTCCCTTCCCTTAGTCTCTGCCCTCCATCCCTCTCTCCTCTTCACTGTTCCCTGGATGATAAGAGGGGCAGCTCAGGGAGACAGGGTATTGCCAGTGACGACTTTCCTGGGGTCTAAGATGCAGAGTCAGCCAAATGACTGGTGGATGGGATTTTGAGTGAAAATGGGGCCTTCCCCTTTTATCTGGTAGCACTCATGATGCATGGACTCCCTCTGGAAGGACTCAGGGAAGGAAGCCTGTCCTCTTGGACTGGCCAGGACGTGAGACATTGGGTCCACCTCACGCCATGGCCTGTGTGCCCATGGAGATGTGCGAGTGCAGGCCAGGACTACCCTTTAGAGGGGTAGCATCTGTGGAAAGAGGAAGCGTTTCCCTTCTCCAAATCACTCGGGGGCGGTGCCCACACTACCTCCTTCCTCCTCCTCTTCCCTGGAGTCAGGCACAGCCAGTGGAGCTGGGTCTCCCCGGAGTAGGTCGACTAGATCAGCCTCGGCTAGGTCAGCAGTAGAGGCCCTCCCCTCCCCGTTTTGATTTCTGGGTTGCCGGGAACCTCACCTAGCCCACAGACCAAGGCACCATGGGCAGAAGTCTTAAAAAAGGATAGCTGTTCCTGTGCGGCCTTGGGCAGATCACCCATCCTCTCTCTGAGTCTGTAGCCTCCCCTTTAAAGCAAGACTCTGAATGCGTTCCTGGCTGAGTTGCTCTGAGGCCATGTTGACCTGCTGGCTGATGAGAACCCCAGTGAGCTTCAGCTATCCTGCAAGAGCCTCGATGCCCAGGGGGGTGGAGCCAGGCACTGTCCTGGGGGATGGCCACCCTGTACTGGGACCCAGTGTCTGGCTGGCTCCTGGTGTCCTGATTTCCTGTTTGTCATGCCCTCCAGTTAGGGCTGGGGACAGGAGGGGGCCTGGCACAAGTGGGGGCCAGTTCAGCCCACACCTGCTAAGGGCCTGCTAAACACACAGCCCTGGGGGAGTGGTGGGGAATGTGACAAAGGAGCAGCAGAGGAGGACAGGGCCTCAGGCCTGCAGCCAGCTGATGGCATTCTTCCTCAGCCAACAGAGCCTTCATCCCCCCTCTCTTCTCTCACTGCCCAGAACAGGTATCTCCCCCTTCTCCAGCTCCAGAAATCCTATCCACCCTTTAAGGAACATCCTGTATGCTGCCTCTTCCCGGAAACCTTCACAGCCATTCCCCCTTCCTCACGACACACTTGCACCTTTGAATGCCTGTGGATCCTTATTTCTTTTTTTCTCCCAACACTCATCTCTCTACCACGGAATGACTTCTTCCCACCTAGCTCCTGCTGTGAGCTGTAATCATTTGGGAGATCTTTTCCCCAGTTATCTGGTTTTTGATGGTAGGGACAGTCTCAGATCCCTTAGTACCTCGCAGCAGGGAACACAGAGCCTCACACATACCTGGTGCCCGGGTGCTAGGTCATTTGGGGGGAGAGATACCAAGGGCCGTAGCAGCAGTCTGCCCTGTTCCCTGGCACTCATCCACTGCCAAGTCTTGCACATGTGTCCCAGACCCCAGGGTTCCGTCTGCAGCCCAGACTACACTTAGGTGAGACCTCACTTGGGACTCCTACAGCCCCCCTGTCCACCAGGCCAGTAGACATCTCTACTTTGCAGTCTTGGGAACTTTGCTGTGGCATAAGCCAAACACCAGTCATCTTTGCTGCCTCCCCCTGCCCTTTTGTGCTGCCTGGACCATTGTAGCAGCTACTAACTGGTCTCTCTTGCCCTTCTACAAGTCGTTCTTCACACAGCTGCTCGAAAGATCCTATACCACTGTAAATCAGATCTTGCTTCTCCCGTGCCTGGAAGCTTTCTGTGGTTTCTCCTTGCATTTAGGATAAAATCCCAAAGTCATATTAAGGCCAGCAAGGCCACCTGGTCTGGCCTCAGCCCACCTCTCCAGCCTGGTCTTGCATATGTTTTCCTCTTGAATTTTAAGTTCCCACTACCTTAGTCTTATGTCAATACCTTGAACGACTGCCCCCCCCTGCCCAATCTCTAACCCCAGGGCCCTTGCACAGGCTCTCTCCTTTACTGGGACCACATTCCTTCTTACATTTTGCCTAACTTCTAAGCTTCTACTCTTTTTTCAGGTCTCTGCCTTGAGGTCCTCCCTGAGTCTTCAACCTAAATTAGGTACCTACATTAATTCTTCTTCAAAGCATATTATAGTTGTTTCATAATACCAATTACCTCAGTTTGCAATTATATTTACATATATATTTACGATTATATGTTTAATGGCTGTTGCTCCATAAGGTCTGCAAGAACAGGCTTACCAGGGTATCTACATAGGAGAGGCTCAGAAAATACTTTTTCTGAATCAGGCTGGCATGGTGGGAATATGGGCTTTGGCAGCAGAAAGTTCAAATACTCAGGTTACCCTTTATTAGCAGTGTGAACTTGGGACAACCCACCTAGCTTTGCTGAGACCTTAGTTTATGTGTAAATAGGAATAACGCCCATTTACCTCTTGGGAGTTGCTCAAGGATTAAATGACAAAAGGGGTTAAGAACCTGGCTTCTAGAGGAATATCCTTGGGAAGCCTGTCAATTCCTATCCCCTTTTAGAGAGAGGGAGCTCTGCTGCAGGGTCAGTGAGAGTGACAGGATACCCTCTCCTCTAAGGATATCCCCCTCCTTCTTGGTCCTGCCAACCTAGGCCTTTCTTCTACTGAAACAGGCATCCCGAGGGCTTCCGGGAGGAAGTGGTCAGCTGGAAGGCGCCAGCCCCTCCTTTTAGCTCTCCCAGGTTGGACTGCGCGGTCGGGGGCCGATCCTGGTTCCGCCACTGGGAGACACCCTGGGCGGGGTTTTGCTCGCCGGAAGCACGCAGAACTTGGGGTGGAGAGCTCCCTCTGCACGCGTTTGTGCCAAAGCATCCGTGCTGCCGCGTCGGGTTCTGACGGGCGGGCGGCCGGAGTCACACATGATGTCACAGACAATGACACAAGCCGGGTGTCTCAACCCTTTCACAGCGCCTGAGCTGCACAATGTCACACCCGGGACACCCAGCACGCCGTGTTCGTGGCGCAAACACTTGGCCCCGCGCACCCTGGTCCTTTGCGTCCTGCGGCCACTCTCCGCGACTCTGGGGGCGCTCACCCTGCCCGGGGTGGGGGGCCGGGGGCCGGCGGGGGAGCCCCGAGGGCGGGCTGGCGAGCGGGTGATGTCACGGGCAGCGGTGGGTGGGTCACCCGGAGGTGAGGCGCCGCCAGGCGAGTTCAGCGAGAGTTCAGCCGCATTGCATTAGGCAAATGAGGCCCGGGCCGGGTGGGGGGTGTGTTGGGGGAGGACACCGGGACCACCTCCTCCTCCCCGCCCCATCACCTCTCCTCTACCAGCGCCGGGCCAAGGACTGACCAAACCACGGGGGAGGCTGGGAGCCGGAACCGGGATGGGGGAGACTCCCGCCCCTCTCCGGTCCCTGCCTCTGCGTGCAGCCCCCACCCCTCCGCGTACCCTGCCTCCGTCCATCCTCTGCGTACTCCTCCTCTGGAGCATTTTCCCCTGTGAGTCCCCTCCTTCTCTCCTCCCCCTTCCCAGGCTCCCCCCACCCCGCCCGCCCTAGCACGCCTCTCCCAGTCAGTCCCCTGCGTTTCGCCCGCCGCAGTCGGTCCCGCACGGCAAGGGTTAAGTCAGGGGCGGTGCCTGGACGGGACGGGGCGGAGGGAAGGGGGTGGGGCCGCCGGGGAGGGGGCGCTCAGGCTCGGGGCTGGGGGCTGCAGCGCGCACCTCGGAGACTGAGCGTAGGCCGGCAGCCCCGGGCCTGGCGGAGGCGGAGCCGCGCGGGGTCCCCACCCCCACCCGGAATCCTCGCCCCAGAGAAGCTCGGGAGCCCCGGCGGGGAGGAGGAAGTGCCCGGCGTGCCCCCCCCGCCCCCCATCCCGCGCCGATCCCGCCCCCGGCCGGCGCACTTGGGAGCCGCGGGACTCTGCCTCGGACAGCATGCGACTCGAGACGGGATCCCCCTCGAGGTGGAGCCGCTGAGTTCCCGGGCCTCGGCCGGACGTTCCCGGGGTGGGGGAGCCGAGGGACCCCCTCCTCCCCCCACACACAACTTCCCGGCTGTTCGCCTGGGACTGGCGGAGCGGCCGGCCGACTTTGAACAGGGACTTCGGGCGACGGGCGGCCCCCGGGCTCGGGTCGCCTGTCGGGGCTGGGGGGGTGGGAGGGGGACGTGCCCCTCGCCCCCAGCTGCTCTCCGCGGATGGCGCCGCCGGCTGAGTGAGGGAGGCGGCGCGCATGACTTCCCCGCCCGGACCTCTTGTCTTCGCGGGGAAGATGTACGAGAGTGTGGAAGTGGGGGGGCTCACCCCCACCCCCAATCCCTTCCTTGTGGTGGATTTTTATAACCAGAACCGGGCCTGTTTGCTCCCGGAGAAGGGGCTCCCCGCCCCTGGTCCCTACTCCACCCCGCTCCGGACTCCGCTTTGGAATGGCTCAAACCACTGTAGGTACCGGCCTCCCCTCTCCCATTGTAGGAGCTGGGGCTGAGGGTGGGCAGTGGAGCTTCCACACCCACCGGGGATGCGGGCCTGGGGCTTGGGGGGGGATCGCTTGTGTCTACTCTTCACTTCCCGTCTCTCTTGCTGGAACTCGGGTGCCCTTGCTGGACAATTGGACCCTACCGAGGAGCCTTGGGCGCTCTTTCTCCGTACATCAGGGCTGAGGAACTTTGGGGGGTTCTTCCTTCAGGAAACGTTTGTTCATCTGGCCTGCTACTTCTGGCAGGGGAAGTGAAGCCCCTGGCCCCCAGTTTGAATCTTCTTGCTTGGAATCCAGTCGCTTCAGCGCAGAGTGGTCCTTTCTTCCACCCTGCAGGGTGCGGTAAAGGCCCGATCCGTGGGCTTATCTGCTCAGAGGAGGAGGGGCCTCCTTCCCAGATCCCACCCGTGGAAGCCTGGGGGAGAGCTCCCTCCTGTGCAACAGCTGCTGCCCCCAGCCCTTGCCCTTGTGTCATTAGAGTCAGTGTCAGGGGACCACTCGATGTCTTTGGTGTTGGCAGTGTGGTGTGGCAGGAAGGGGCAACTTCATCTGACGTCCGTCTGCCGTCCTAGCCAATCCTTCCATCCTGGGGAGGGGCACCTGTCCATAGGAGGGTTGCTCTGGCCCTGGACACCTGGCTGGCATCTTTGAGGTTTCTGTCCCAGGAATGGGAGGAGGAGAGCGGCTGCTGTGGGGGGAAGGATTGCCCTCCTCCTAATCCTAATCGGGTTTGCTCTCTGGGGGAGGAGTTTGTTTTGTTGTGGGTCTGGGCTGCTCTGGAAGTGAGGGAAGCATCCCCTGCCACTCCAGCTGTGTCCTTTTGTTACCCTGTTTACGCTTAGGGATAGGGGCTGGCACTGGGTTGTCCCTAAGAGGGGCGCTGATGAGAACCCTGGAGTCAGTCCTGGGAACCTCCTCACCCTCCTGCTGTCCTCCATCTGGGTTCGGGCTCCTCTGGAAGGGAGGGGCTCTGTGCACCCCCGAGAGCTGTGAGTGCCTGGAGTGCACACCTGGGTGTGTTTGAACCCAGCTGTGAGGTAGTGTACCTGAGTGGGAGGGAGCCGGCGCTAGGGGCTGTTGTTACCTGGGTCGGGTTTCTTCCCTTTCTCTGCCGGCTGCCTCCCTCCTGCCTGCCAGGGAGAAGGGGTGGAATGGGTCCCTGGAGGCCTGACAGATTGGAGAAGGTTGAAGGGTAACCTCCAGTCCCTTTGGTCTAGGAAGAGGGAGACCTGGAGCAGAGAGACACCCCACCACTGCCCCTCCCAGAGCCACCTCATCCCCATCCTTTCCTATTGTCCTGCCCCTTGACCTTTGCCTCTGGGGCCCAGTGGCTGGGAGGCTGCAACTCACACCGTGGGAGGCAAAGGGGGAGGGGTGTGAGTGTCGACTGACTTAAGCCAAAGGGGAGAGGTCAGAGGTGTGACACCAGGACCCTTCTTCCCGCCCTCCAGACCTGGAGGAAGGTGTTTCTCCCCAGTGGGATCATTGGGGGCACAGCTGCCATGGTCTCCCCTGTCACCACGTTGGCCACCTTTGCCAGAGGACTGGGGGAAAGCTGGAATCAAAGACCCTGGGCTCCAACCCCATCTCTTCCTTCATTGCATGGGGGCAGCTCAGCTCTCCCTGGCCCCAAACTGGTAGAGGAGGAGGAGTATGGAGTCCAGCAGGCCTTGGGTTTGGTGAGGCTGGTGATGGGGAAATGGAGGCCTGTTTCCCACGCTCTGTCTGGAGTTGGGTAGAGCTAGAGGTCTGGGATCCCCTGCTCCCCTAGTTGCCCTGTAGGTGTGTGTATGTCATTGGCATGCCAGTGGGGCTCAGCCCCAAGACTGGGGGCTGGGCGTGGTGGGTGTGGGAGTTGTTCTGAGGCACAGGAAAGACCTGGAGGCTGCTGGCCCTAGGGGTCCTTGACCCTGTCTAGTGTACAGGGGGTCACCACCGCTGCCTCGGAACCCCTTGCTGTATGTGGAGGTCCTGTGGGGACAGGAGGCCTCCAGCTCTCTCACCCAGATCCTCCTCTGCCTCCCACCACCTGCGCCAGAGGTGGGAAGAGACTGCAGGCTTGGAGTGGGGGGTGGTGTGGGTGGAGACCCTTTCAATCCCGCAGGGCCCTGGGAATTTTGCCTCCTTCCCCAGAGCCCCCCTTTGGGGGCACTGGAGGATGGGGGGTACACAGGATGTGGCTCCCCATCTGTCCCCCACCAATCTCACCGCTCACGCCTCCACCCGCTCCCAGACGTCCAAGAATGTGAAGCACGTGGATGCTCGTGGTGGGGGGAGGGGAGAGATGCTTATCGGGGCGCTGGGCTAGGGGCCTCCTTCCGCTGCTACTCCCAGAGCTACTCCACCCTGCCCCTCGGCGGGGTGTGGGGGGAGGAAGGGCGGTGGGGGGGACCCCGCGCCCCCTCCTCACCCCTCCCCAGGGGCTGTGAGGGGAGCTGCGGAGGAGTGGGCGCCAGCTGGATTGGGAGGGGAGCCGCTGGCCAGGGGCCCGGCTGATTTCCTGCTGATCTCCTCCAGGAAACTGGCCTCTTGTGTGAGGCCGCGAACGGCTCTGGGGCGTGGGGAATCCGGAGCACTGTGCCTCCTGCCCCCTGCCCTCCAGAGGCCGGGGGAGGGGAACCTGGCAGCGCTGGCAGGAGGGGACGCTGGCTTCCTGGGCTGGTTCCAGCCCTCCGCAGGGTGCTGGGACGTGGGGCCGAGTAGGTGTGGTGCCCCTGCAGCCTCCTCCTTCTGCAGGAAGATGATAGATTTGTGGGCTGGGGCCTCTTGGGCAGGGAGGTGAGCAGGGAGGGGCCAGGCCCTGACAGTCCTTCCCCCAGACATCGGGTGTGCAGGGTTAAGGCTGAATCCCAACCACTGCAGAGGCTACGGGGTGGGGGTGGGGGGGCGCCCAGAGTACCCTGGGCTTCCCTAGGCTGCTGGCTGGCCGCCTGGGGAGGTGGGAACTGGGCCAGGGCTCTGGGTTCAAAGGGCACAGGGCAAAACCTCTGGCCTGTTACCTGGGTGACAGGTGGGGATGTGCTGGAGAGGGGGGACGTGCAGAGCACCCTAGAGCCTCAGAGGCGGTCAGCTGCAGTGGGATGGGCTGAAAGGAAACCTCACAGCCCAGACTAGCTCCCACCTCAGCTCATCTCCCCTCATCCTGCCAAAAACAATTTTAAAAAGCACATGCATTAAGTTCTATGAACACCCTCTGGACTTTGCCTTAGCTCCAAATTTCTATGGGTCTTTGCCCCTTTAGTCAGTCTCTGGCCTTGGAGCTATCTGTCCCTCGTCCGAGTAATCCTGTGGGTCTCCCCATGCCCTCCCCTCCATCTGCCCCAGTCTGTACCCCAAAGCTCCGCCTGTCCATTTTAGAGGTGGGGGATTGGAGGGGTGGGCCCGGGGAAAGGGCGGTTGGGGAGGGCTGGGGAGGGAGGTCAGTGCCTTCATCCTCTGCTTATTGGAACGCTGGCTGGGATTCTAGGCCATGGTCCCCCCCCCCCCCCCCCCCTTGTCCTTGCCCCCCCCCCCCCACCAGTCTGGATTGTCTATTGTTACTCCTTTTACGTCTTGGAAAAAGTTAGCACAACAAAGGCCTTCTTTGTCGCTCACCCCTCTGCCTCCTGGCCTCACCCAGGCCCCCCAACCTCACCCCACCCCCCAGCAGCTGTTCTCAGGCCTCTCGCCTGTCTGATTTGCTTGTCTGGCCTCAGGGAGGGTGAGGTGGGGGAAGAGCCTGGCCAGGGTAGTTTAGAGTTGGGGAGAAGCAGAGGGCCAGGGGAGGTCAGTGAAGAGGCTGTGGACTGGTGGGGGTCTAGGCATCCACTATCTTCTGCTGCAGGCTGGTCTCTAGGTAGAGACGGGGGTGGGGGGCACAGGGCCACAGCGGTGCTGGTCAGCCAGGCTGACCAGGGAATTGGTGCCCGGGCCCCACTGAGAGCCAGGAAGGCCCTGCCAAGGTTATTGGCCTGGTTCCCTGTCATCACTGCCTGGCAGTTCCTGGTGTGTCTGCAGGTAAGGGGGAGGGGGGTCATATGCAGCCAACCCCCACCCCCCGTCCAGCTGCTGCTTTTCTCTGTGCCTGCACTTGGGAGCTACGTGATTCATGGCTTATAAGGTGCTTGGACCAGGATTCTGGGACTCTCTGAATTCCAGAAGCTTGTGTGCTGGAGTTTTGGGGGAGAGTGGGTAGGATTCTGGGGTATGAGGGAGGCTGGGATCTTCCTACTCAGGGAGACATCCTTGCCCTCCTTGGCTCTGGACAAGTAGACTTGTCAAAGGCCTCTGGACACTGCCGGGTGGTACCTTGGGCATCTGGGATTGCCTCAGTCTAGTTCTCATCCAGCATGATACACCCCAGTTCCCCAGGCTTTGGGCACAGTCAGCCCCCACCCAGCCCAGCTCTGTTCTGCCTGGGGTGATGGGCAGGGGGCCAGGCAGTGGGGAGGATTTGGCTAGTTGGGGCTGCCCCTGTTGGCTGGGTCACCCCTCTTGGCTGCCCTCTTGGAGCTGAATAACAGGAGGGGAGGAGGGTAGTAACCCGGACATAGTATTGAGAGCAGACAGACAGAGCATTGATAGAAACAGACCCCCCTTTGTCATGCTGCTTCCCCCCAGACGGGGCACCCAGAGAGCTCTGGGCTTCCGGGGCTCAGAGGGACTCCACTCCCTGTCTCCAGGGGTCCCCCTGCTTATCTAAGGGGAATCCCCACCTGCTCTGCTCCAACCTTTGCGAATCTTATTTGCACACCCTGCCTTGGGTCCCTAGCCAGGGGTTTGTTTAGGTGGAGGAGGGGCTGTGGCTACTGGTGGGGGGGGGGAGGAGGGAGCGGAAGCAGAGGGGGTGGGGGAGTGGCCGCTTTGAATATCCTGTTGACCCCAGTTTCCTCTGCCCCCAGCTTGTGTCCTCTTCCCTCCCTCCTCATTAGACCTTAACTCCTTCCTAACTCGGGGGAGATGGGGCCAGGCTACCCTGTGGGGCAGGGGCTGGAAAGCCAGGCTGGCTCCTCTCCCGAGCCCCCATGCCTAGTCCTGTCTGCCTGCGAATCTGATTGTTTATCCTCTGATCTTTCTGGTTTTGAAGGTGGGGTCCTGGGGCAGTAGGCAGGAGTGATGGGGTGCTGGAAGCTTCGTTGGCAGCTCATTGTCCAAGTCTGGCTGAGAAGTCCCAGCTTTCCTGAGACTGTCCCTGCCCCAGACTGAGAGTCCTGGTAGCAGTGGTGAGGCTGGGAGGCTCCTGGGGGAGCTCGTGAGGCAGGGTGGGCGCCGTGTTAGGGATGGTGGCCTGGGTCTCTAACCACCCCTCCCCTCTTCTCTCTCTAGCCATCGAGACCCAGAGCAGCAGTTCCGAAGAAATAGTGCCCAGCCCTCCCTCGCCGCCCCCTCTCCCCCGCATCTACAAGCCTTGCTTTGTCTGCCAGGACAAATCCTCAGGCTACCACTATGGGGTCAGTGCCTGTGAGGGCTGCAAGGTGAGTTGACAGGGTCACCGGGAAGGACAGGCCTGATGAGATAAATGGGATGTCCCCACTGCCTCGTCCTGCAGCATGCCCTTTGCTGGGGGGATGTCTCGGAAACTGCTGCTCTTGCTTCCTTCCCTGCAGAAGGTGACAGAGCCATGGAGGAGAGGAAGCCTGCATTAGATGACCAGGGACCCCCAAACCAGAGGTCCCCTTCCTGCTGGAGCCCCTCTCCCCAACTCCACCCTGCGGCGGGCAGGGCAGACACCCGCCTTGCCCCTGCTTGCTACCCGGGTTGTCGTAGTGAGCTGGCTGCCAACTGGCTCTTGGCTGGGGACCCAGGAGGCCTGCCCCCGATGGCCCTGCCTGAGCCTCAGCATGGCTGCCTGGCAGAGGTGGTTAGGAGCAGGCGCCCTGATTGGCCTCTCCTTCAGGTGCCCGGGCTGTGGGATCCCCAGTGTCTGACGGGGTTTCCCCGGGCCTGTGGTAGACTCCAGAGAACGGTTGTGGCTGCCACCTTCCCAGCAGCTGTCGGCCTGGCTTCTTCCCTTCTCCCCAATGCCCGAGCCTCTGTGTCGGTGTCTACCCTGGGGACTGGGGCGCAGAAGCTGCTCAGCTTCGAGGCTCGGCTTCAACCGGCTGCCCCTCAGCGGGGAGTGGCTTTCCCCAGGTGTGCGCTGGAGACCAAGGCCAAGCACAAGGCTTTGGACTCTTTGGGTCTACCTGCCCTATCTGGTTGTTCCAGTTTGTCTCTGGTCGGCCTGTGTGTAGACCCTGACCAGCCCAGGTCAGCCTGTGACGGTGCCTGTCTGCTGGGTTGATGAGCGCCTGTCCTGCTGCCTTACTCCAGATCATGTGTGCTTCTCCACCTCTCTGGCTGGCCTGTGTATGGCCTTCTGTGGCCTCTTTCTCCTGTGCTCTGAGCCCGGGGCTGTGGGTTCCAGAGCCCTGCCTCTCTCCCATCGAGTCCCATCTGCCCCTCTCCCTGATTCACTAGCAGCCTTGAGGTCCTTTGCCCCCGGAGGAAGCCAGAACGGTGGCAATAATAGGTTGTGGGAAGACAGCTGTCCACCTGCCGTGCTGAGGCCGGCACTGGCATTTTCGGAGGGGGGTGTCCTTGTAGGTGGACTGTTTTCTTCACCTTGTCAAGCCTGCCCAGCTGGGTGAAGGCCAAAAGCTTGAGACAGCAGCTGGCCTGGCCCTCTGGCCCCAAGGCTGAGGCTCCAGGCCAGCCCTGCTCCCACCATGGGTGTGGCTGACCCGGCTCCTTTTCCTCCGCACCCAGGGCTTCTTCCGCCGCAGCATCCAGAAGAACATGGTGTACACGTGTCACCGGGACAAGAACTGCATCATCAACAAGGTGACCCGGAACCGCTGCCAGTACTGCCGACTGCAGAAGTGCTTTGAAGTGGGCATGTCCAAGGAGTGTGAGTGCCCCGGGCCGGGGGCTGCCGGGTGCAAGGCAGTGTCTGATGTGCTCCTCAGAGGCTGGGGATGTAGGGACGTGGGGCTGGGCTCGTGGGGATGGGGGTGCCATGGAGCCCGCTGCGTGGTCTGTGGGCTCATGGTTAAGGACGGTTTGTGTGGAGCTGCGAGAACCTGTCTGTCCATGTGTGTAGCCAACTGCACGTCTGTGTGTTGGCATGCTGTTGGCTGTGTGTGCTTGCACACGTGTGTGCATGTGTGTCCGCTTCCAGGCCCTGCTTGGCTTTGGGGTGGGACTCAGGGCATACCTGAGGGCCCCTGGATCGTCCCTCTTGGGGGAGGGCTTGCACTGGGGGGTGCTAGTTGCTCTGTGTGTGTGTGTGTGTGTGTGTGGCGGTGGGTGCCGCTGGCACAGGGATCTGAAAGCCATTGTCTGGCGAAGCCAGGGACCTAGAGTTGGAAGAGAGAATTGGGACTTCTTAGATCCCAGAGGAACTGGGGGTTTCCAGTTTGGGCTCAGCTGAGGCCCGATGGAGGGAGGGAGGGAGGGAGGGAGGGAGGGCTGGACAGGGAGACCCTCTTGTGTTGAATCATGGGTGTTGCCGTGGTGACCGGTGATTGATGATGTCAGAGATAAATGACGCTGACAGACGCCTCCTTGTCTGCGTGGCCGTTGCCATGGAGCCTGAGCCTTGGGGGATGGGGTGGGGGAGGGGGGCTGCAGGACCCCCTAGCCCTTTGTGGGGAGGGCAATGGAAGAGGGAGGTGGGAGGGGATGTGGGGGGACATGAGGAGTCCCAGATGGGAGCAGAGGGGCCCTGCAGCAGCCTGCTGCCTCCTGCCACGGGAGGCAAAGGACGCGTGGTCTGGCGCCCAGGAAGTGCTGTTGAGTGGGTGTCAACTTAGGACCCTTCCCTTCAGGGCCCAGTGCCGCCGCCTCCCCATTGCTTCTGCCACCTTCCACTCCCCGAGCTTTTTAGCGCAGAGGGACCAGGGTGGGGGCCTCTTTCCCTCCCACCACCAACTCCCCCTTTCCCTCCCTCCATCTCCTCTCCGGCTGCTCTGTGCCCTGGAGCTGAGCAGCTGCCATTTCAATAGAATTAAAGCTTCCGAATGATAAACGTCTTGTCACAGCTGCAATTTTCTCTTCCCAAATTATCCCCCCCACTCTCCCTCTCCCTCTCCCTCCTCTCCCTTGCACTTTATTGAATTTGCAGAATCGACATGAGTGATCTCCAAATTATGCCGGCTCCCCCAACCCCCACCCACTGCCCCCTCCCCAGGCCCCCCACCCCCACCCTGTCTTCCTCCAGCGTCAGCAGCCGCCACCACTGGCCCTGTGAGTGATTGTGTGTCTGGGATAATCGGCTGGTAACGACCCCATCGCTTCTTTAAAGCCGAGTGGTGTGTGCCGCTCCGTGCCCCTGGTGATTCGTCAGCTCCCCCAGCTAATGGGCCGAGAGATTCTCGCCTGGCCCCCTACTTTCGGGCTGGGGAGCTGCTCTGAGCCAGTCCCAGGGACTCCCAGAGAGACGGCTGCAGAGGGAGTGGGGGGGGGCAGGGGAGGCAGAGCACAGAGGTAGGCCCCCCTGCACACTTGCTCTCAGCCGCGGACACCCGTGCTCCTGGAGTGTGGGCTTGCGTAGATGCGTTGGGTTCAGCGGACGTGGGCCGGCCAAGAGGTTTGTGTGTGTGTGTGTGTGTGTGTGTGTGTGCAGTTGTCACGTGCTGGGGCCAGATTCGGCACTGGGGTCCGGTGGGCATGGAGGGGTGGGCCGTGCGCAGACACCTTACCTGCCCGCGCCCTCCTGTGTGTGCACTCACACGTGCTGCACTCCCGCATGTGCGTTCCTGCGCGCGTTCGCGAGGCCCGGCTGGGTGACATCCTTGGCCCTTCTGGCGGGAGGAGCTTGGGTGGGGGTGGGCCGCCGCACCTGCTGTAACCCTGGCCTCTGCCCTCCACAGCTGTGAGGAACGACAGAAACAAGAAGAAGAAGGAGGCGCCCAAGCCCGAGTGCTCCGAGAGCTACACGCTGACACCTGAGGTCGGGGAGCTCATCGAGAAGGTGCGCAAAGCGCACCAGGAAACCTTCCCTGCCCTCTGCCAGCTGGGCAAATACACTACGGTATGGTTCCCCCCAGCCTGGTGGGGTGGGGCGGGGCGGGGGGTACACCCAGTGCCACCTGGCCCATCTTCCCCTCCTCACCCCTGCCCGGGCTTCCGGGTCCTTTCCCTGCTTCTCCCTCCTCCTCCTGCTTCCTGATGAGAGAGCTCTCAGGAAGCGAAGTGGGTGGAGAGCAGGCCTGTGGGGGTGGCAGAGCCAGGCCGAGAAGGGGCACATGAGGAGAAGGCCCTCACTCTGCCCTGTCCTCCCAGAACAACAGCTCAGAGCAACGTGTCTCTCTGGACATTGACCTCTGGGACAAGTTCAGTGAACTCTCCACCAAGTGCATCATTAAGACTGTGGAGTTCGCCAAGCAACTGCCCGGCTTCACCACCCTCACCATTGCTGACCAGATCACCCTCCTCAAGGCTGCCTGCCTGGACATCCTGGTGAGGGTCTGCACCCCGCCCCCCTGGCCACTGCCCCCGAGTCCTTGGAGGAGTTCCTGCCGTTCAGATAGCCTCCTTCCCCAAAAACACGTCTGGAATCGATCTGTCCAAGTGCCCACCACCCAAATGTCCACCCTTCCTTTCCCCCACGTGACCGCCTGTTCCCTCAGCCCCTCCGCATCTGGATGTACACTGCTTCACCCGTTCACCCCCACACACATCCATCCACGCTCACCCCGTCCTTCCATTCAACCTTTCGCCCTGCCGCCCATCTGGCCACCTCTTCCGTCTAATAAAGATTCACCTAGAACCCTGTGTGGCCGGGCCTTGAGCTAAGTGTCAGGAAACGGAGGTGAACACAGCACCGGCCCCTCTCTCGAGAACCTTCTGTGGGTGGAGGCAGCAGATACGTAAACAGAGGTTACCAAACCGTGCTAAGTGCTGGCCGGAGATGGGGGCGGGCTGTCCCTTCCCTGTGTGAGAGAGAGCCACAGCTGCGGGGCCCCAGGCAGGCATCCCAGAGGAGGGGTCACCCTGGGTTGTATAGAAGGGGGATGTGAGACGGCCCTAACAGGAACAGGGTATGACAGGCTGGAGGGTGTGAAAGCAGCTGGATTCAGGGGACTGCAGGGCATTTGGTGGGGCAGAGGGTGACCAGGCCAGAGGCTGGGTGTGCTTGGTGGGAACTGCCAAAGTCAAGACTGGAAGGACTCTCCTTGACTTCCCTAATGGGCTCAGCCCACCTATCCCCCTTGGCCACCTCCAGGGCAGGGAACCTGCAAGGTGACAAGGCTGCAGCTTCCTGATAGGGGTGGGACGGGAGGAGCAGGATGTGGCATTTCTGGGGAGCCCGCTATTCCCATGCTCCAGATGCAAGAGTTTCAGACCTGAATCAGGGTTTGAAATGGTTGAAGCTGGTACACATTTCATGGAGTTCTGCTGTGTACCCAGGCCTGGGGACTGGAGACCCTGCTGTGTACCCAGGCCTGGGGACTGGAGACCCAAATCTGCTATGGTCCTTGCCTTCTGAAAATTCTAGTTTCTCTCTAGGTGATCTAGATCTGTGTGCACGGGACAGTAGCTGCTTGCTGTGTGTGGCTCTTTGAGTTTAACTTAAGAGTAAATTTAGTTCAGTTCCTCAGCTGCACTAACCACATTTCCAGGGCCCAATGGCTCTGCTGGCCGGTGGCTGCTGTTTGAGTGCTATGTAGACATAGACCGTTTCCATTATTGCAGAAGGTTCTATGGGACAGCACTGGTCTGGCCGCCTGCCTGGTGGTCCCGTGGGGCCACTGGTACTGGAAGTGCTGGGGAGGTGGGGCGAGTCCCTGAACCCGTGCACCCTCTCTGCACCCAGATCCTGCGGATCTGCACGCGGTACACGCCCGAGCAGGACACCATGACCTTCTCCGATGGGCTGACCTTGAACCGGACCCAGATGCACAATGCCGGCTTCGGCCCCCTCACGGACCTGGTCTTCGCCTTCGCCAACCAGCTGCTGCCCCTGGAGATGGATGATGCTGAGACTGGTCTTCTTAGTGCCATCTGTCTCATCTGTGGAGGTGGGCAGGGGGGCCGGGGCTGGGGGGCCAGGCCCGGGGGGTGGGGTGGCCCCCGGAGTCTCTGCCAGGGAGAAGCCCAGGGTCAGATCAGAAGGGGACCTTGGCCTCAATCAGGCCCTTCTCAAAGGGATGAACAGAGAATGCAGAGGGGGGCAGGGCCTGGTCGGCTGCCATATAACAAGGGAGTAGAGGCGGATGCCTGATGTCTGCTTCCCTGTTGGTGGGCTGTGCCCCTTCCGGGGGGCTTAAGAGTGCGGGCTTGAGGGTCAGGCCACCCAGGTTCAAATCCTGGCCAGCTTGTGACCTCGAGCAGGTTGCCGAGCTTCACTGAGTCCCTATTTCTTTAAAATGGGGCAGTAAGGGTCTCTACCTCATAAAGTTGATGGGGGGACCAAGAGGGCAATAAGTGAGGCACAGTTTGCCTACAGCAAGGCCCAGTCATTGTTGGCTGCTCTGATTATTTGATTGTTAAGAGCTTTGATGTACTGAGCTGGTGTCCTTGAAGGGAGTGAGACCTCCCTGGGCATCCTCCGTTTGCCTGAGGACAGCCCTGCCTGTGTTCAGAGGTCTCGCCCCTACGAATTGGGCTGCCAGAGAGGGCTGCGGATGACCCTTACCCCAGTTCCTCTCTGCTCCCATTTAAGGGCCTCTTAGGTCCTTTCTCACAGCACACAGACCCCAACCACTGCCCTGTATGGGGAGGTCCCAGCAGCAGAGATCCTCGGCCCGTGGCCTGGGCCAGCGCGCACCCCAGTGGCCGAGGCTGGGAGTGCAGCTGTGTGCCTTGCTCGCCGGGGCCGCTGCTCAAGGGGCACCTGCTCCCTGCTTCCTCAGACCGGCAGGACCTGGAGCAGCCAGACAGGGTGGACATGCTTCAGGAGCCGCTGCTGGAGGCGCTGAAGGTCTATGTGCGGAAACGAAGGCCCAGCCGCCCCCACATGTTCCCCAAGATGCTGATGAAGATCACAGACCTGCGAAGCATCAGTGCTAAGGGTGAGGCTCGTGCCCTGTGTGTATGCCAGAGCTGGACTGAACACCTGGCCCCGGACCCCCCTGCCCGTGCCCAGAGTCAGGCCACCCACATGGGAGCCAACAGCCCATGTCTTTGTGCCCAAGGTGATGCCCCTTCCCCGGGGCCCGGTGACCTCCTCCTGCCTGGGAGCTCTGAGGGGGGCACTGTCACCTTCGCCTGGTAGTTGAGGGCTTGGCTCTGCAGCGTGTGTTGAGCAGGTCCCTTCACAGCTCAGCCTCAGTTTCCCACCGGAGGGATGGGGATCGTGATGGTGTTTACACAGTTGTGTTTGAGGTGTCAGTAGGAGAACCCATAACACAGAGTATGCAGGAAGGGCCCTCAGTCAACCCTCGGCAGTCTGACCCCAGAGCCTGGATTTGGAACCACGGCTGCCCCCTAGACCCAGGGGCCTGAGAGAGCTGGCTTATGTCAGAGAACCGATCCCTGAGTTCCGTCCATAGCGGATGCCGATAGGAGTCGGACCAGCCTTTCCAGCCCCACACCCTCCTTCCTGGAGCTTCGTGAGGCTGGGGGTCCACGGGCTGACCTCTGCTCCTCCTTCCCGCCAGGGGCTGAGCGGGTGATCACCCTGAAGATGGAGATCCCGGGCTCCATGCCACCTCTCATCCAGGAAATGCTGGAGAACTCGGAGGGCCTGGACACTCTGAGCGGACAGCCAGGGGGTGGGGGGCGGGATGGGGGCGGCCTGGCCCCCCCACCCGGCAGCTGTAGCCCCAGCCTCAGTCCCAGCTCGAACAGAAGCAGCCCGGCCACCCACTCCCCGTGACTGCCCGTGCCCCGTGGACACAGCCCTCACCCCGCGCCCTGGCTTTTCTTTGCCTTTCTACCAACCATGTGACCCCCACTAGCCCTGCCCCCCCACCTGTCCTCCCTTTCCTCGGGGACAGGAGGGAGGAGGCGGCGACTCTTCAGAGGGAGGCCCGGGCAGGATGGACTGCCTGCTCCTGCCTCCTGGGCTGACGTCAGGGGCAAGGTCGTGAACTGATTGAGGACCCCTGGTCCTGGGCCTCAGGATGGAGCCTGGGGGCCTCGTGTTCATCAAGACAGCCCTCTGCCCCCCTCGCCACATCTTCATCACCAGCAAATGCCAGGACCTGGCTTCCCCATACTCAGAACCCGCAAGCCATTGCCCCCCGGTCGGGAAGCCCCCCCTGCCTCGGTTGGTGACAGAGGGGGTGGGCCAGGGGTGGGGGGTTTCCCCTGTACATACCCTGCCATACCAACCCCCAGGTATTAATTCTCGCTGGTTTTGTTTTTATTTTAATTTTTTTTGGTTTTGATTTTTTTAATAAGAATTTTCATTTTAAGCACATTTATACTGAAGGAATCTGTGCTGTGTATTGGGGGGAGCTGGATCCAGAGCTGGAGGTGGGTGGGTCTTGGGGGAGGGGAGCAGCTCAGAAGGGGCTCCCACTCTCTCTCCACGTCCCTGCACCCCCTGGCCCTCCTCCCCAGCCTTTTTCTCCTCAGTTTTCTCTTTAAAACTGTGAAGTACTAACTTTCCGAGGTCTGCCCTCCCCTTCTCCCTCTGCCTAACCACTGGGCGTGGACAGTTTCAGGCCGCCCCTAGAAGGAGGGGGCCCACCATGAGAGACAGGGCAGGGGGCAGAGGAAGGGGGCCCTCAGAACATACTCGTGTGTGTTTCTCAGTCCTGTGGCCATGGCAGAGCTGCCTTTCCATCGGGGCTAATACCATCCAAGCCCTCCAGCCCCCACTGTGAAGGGGCTGGCCAGGGAGTTCAAGCTGCCCCTGTCCCCCAGCCTCACAGCCACCAGCACTGCCCACAGGGTCCCCAGACACACACACACACACACACACACACACACACACAGTGGACCGATGAGGCAACAGACACACTTGGCCTGAGTTCCTCCGTTTCCCTGGCCTGCCCCCCCACCGCTCCCCACCCCATCCCCGTGCCCCCTCCTTGCCCCGCAGGACGGGCCTACAGGGGGTTCCCTCCCCTCACCCCCTGCACCCCCAGGCTGAGGGAGCTGGTTCTGCCCTGCCCTCCTTGCCCCGGGGTTGGGGTCTCATCCCCTCAGAGCCCGCTGGTGCACCTGTTACTGTTGGACTTTCCACTGAGATCTACTGGATAAAGAATAAAGTTCTATTTATTCTACACATGTCTCAGAGTCTCACTGCCTCTCTGCCTTCTCCCGCTGAGTGGGCAGGTATCTGGGGTTGGGGGGTCAGGTATGAGCCCTGGGGGCCAAGCTGCCTTCGGGGCCTGCCTTGCTGTGCTGGGGTCTTTGGTGGAACAAGATAGGCCTGCCCTTGGGAAGCCCTCTGTCTAGGGGTCTATATAGCCCGTGTCAGGAAGCTCTAGTCTGGAGGTGGGGAGGGGAGAGGAGAAACTGTTCCCACCTTCAGGAGTCCCCATTCTGTGGAGGAAGCCAGCCCCAGCTCTCTGGGAAGCTTGGTCTGAGGGAGGAAGCCAGTGTCTGCCTTCAGAGAGTCCTGAGCCCTTGGAAGCCAGAGGTTGGTCTAGGGGTCACTAAGTGGCAGAGTTCTCTTCTGGACTTGACCTTCAAGAGAGGCAGTTGGCATGGGTACCCGGATCAGGAGCCCTTGGCAAACTAACAAGAACATGGGATTGGGATGTCAGAAGGCCAGCCCGTCCATCCCTGTGCCTTCAAGGACAGTCCTGCCCTCCCCGGTCCACCCCCGAGGTCACTCTGTAGGCAGGAGGCACAGAAGACAAGTTGCAAGGGAATTTGAGAGGTTGAGAGGATCAAGTGTGGCAGGCCTGTAGTGGCATCAAAATCCACCCTTCCCACTACACATCAAGGCCCAGAGAGGGTAGTGCCCTTGCCCAGGGTCACACAGCGAATTTGTTGCAGATGGCGGCCCAGTACTCAGGGCTTCCACCTCTCAGCCAGAGGTCTTTCCTGGAACCCTGATGCCCCCAAAGAAGCGTCAAGCACTGAGGTCTAAGGACTCCAGGGAGGTGGCAGTGGAGGCTGTGTCTGGGGTGGGTTGGCAGGGCTGGGCAAGGAAGAGAGATTTTCTGGGCAAGAAGAGCTCCTTCCGCGGGGGTCTGCATGCCATTTCTACTTCAGCCACCAGGTGGCGGCAGCGCCTCACTTATTTCGCCCTCTGGCGGGCCTGAGTGCGCGTAGGGACAGGAGTTCTCTTCCTCCAGCAAATTTTTTCTAACATTTTGTTTATGTATCTGACCGGAATTTAACATAACATACCTACCCACGTGCTTTACAAAAATCGCTATGCTATCACACTGTAGCCTAAAGGAGAAACGGAGGGAAAGGACTGAATTTCAGTGTGTTAATGCACACAGCTGCGTGGCAGTTAGGACATGGTCCCATGATTACTTCTACTTTTTAATTAATGCATTGGCATTTAAAATAAGTGAGAAGGGGGGCGCCTGGGTGGCTCAGTGGGTTAAAGCCTCTGCCTTCAGCTCAGGTCAGGATCCCAGTGTCCTGGGATCGAGCCCCACATCAGGCTCTCTGCTCAGCAGGGAGCCTGCTTCCTCCTCTCTCTGCCTGCCTCTCTGCCTACTTGTGATCTCTCTGTCAAAGAAATAAATAAAATAAGATAAATTAAAACAAGTGAGAATGTTGGAAGCCATTCTGTACAAGAAACCCAGGAAACTTAAGGAATCTGGGTGAATGTTGAAATAAAAGCTGACAATGTATAATAAAACCATGCCACCCAACCTCCCCCCGCAAATCCCCAAACAAAACCCTAGTATTTTACACCCCCAAATCCGCAAACAAAACCCTAATATTTTACACCCAGAGCAGAATCCGGTTTTACGCTCAGGTAATTATGGAGAGGGTTTTCCCTTTGTGACTGTCCAGTTGAACATTCTAAAGTCATGTGTGACGATTCTTTTTTTTTTTTTTTAGCTGTGCACCCACTGTGCAGCTTGAACTCACGATCCTATGTTCGTCCCATGTTCCTCTGACTGAGCCACGGGCGCCCCCACGCGTGATAATTCTGTATTGCAGGAGGGCATCTTGGCATTTCTAGCGTCTGCCTACCAAATGCCGAGAATGCCGCCCTCACTGTGGCGACTAGAGCAGTGGTCCCACATTTAAAGAGTGCCCCCCACCCCGGGGTAGTACCTTTGACCCTGGGGCTTGAGGTTGCACTCGGTGGCTCACAGCTCATCGCTGCTGAGCAATTTCTTGACCATGGTGTGACATGTGCTTTGCGCTCGGTCCGGCGCCCCTCCTCCACAGAGGAGACTGACGCAAGGATGGTGACTGGGTTACAACCTGGGGAAAGCAGTGACTAAGTCTTGAGCCTATGAGAGCACTGGGCATTTAACCAGGCCTGGGGCAAGTTTCAGAAGGCTTGCTGGAAGAGGTGCTCCCTACCAGCCTTCTGAGGGTGTAAGGGGAAGAGTTAGCCAGAGGTGATAAATAGCTTCATGCGATCAGAAGCTGTCAGCAAGGGCGCCTTGGTGGCTCAGATGGTTAAGCATCTGCCTCTGGCTTAGGTCATGATCCCAGGGTCCTGGGATAGAGCACTGCATCGGGCTCCTTGCTCAGCAGGGAGCCTACTTCTCCCTCTCCCTCTGCTGCTCCCCCTGCTTGTGCTCTCTCGCTCTCTCTGCAAATAAATACATAAAATATGTTTTTTTTTTTTTAAGATTGTATGTGTTTATTTGAGAGAGAATGAGGGTCAGAGAGAGAAGTAGACTCCCCACCAAGCAGGGAGCCCAATGTGGGACTCAATCCCTCGACTCCAGGATCATGGCCTGAGTCGAAGGCAGTAGCTTAACCAACTGAGCCACCCATGCTCCCATAAACAAAACCTGAAAAAAAAAAAAAAAAAGAAAGAAAGGAAAAGAAGAGAAAGGAAAGGAGAAAGAAAGAGAAAGAAAAGAAAAGAAAAGAAAAGAAAAGAAACCATCACCAGCTCTCTCTCTGCTTTAACAATTTTGGTTGGAATGCTGGAAGAAGTTAAGTTGAAGAGGCTGGGGTGGGCTCAGGCCAGGGCTGGTTCAGGAGCTGGACTTGACCCTGAGGGCGATGGGAGTGAAGGATTTCAAGCCAGCAAGTGAGCTATTCGGATTGGAACTGCAGGAAACAGGGCAGAAGCTGTGGGAGCACTCCAGGCCACTGATGTCAGGGCTGACCCTGGGCAGCCCCTGAAGGGGTGAGAGTGGGTAAAGGGAGGAAATGCTTAGGTAGCAAAATGGGAGGACCAAGTGATTGACAGGACATAGGAGGCGGGCAGGAGACAGGTTCTTGCTGTAGTGGGTGGAGATGGTCAGGGTGGATGGAGACAGCAGCACTGTGAGGGGGAACTAAGGCAGTTGGGGTTGCATTTGAGGTACTGGTGACCCCCCCCTCTGATCCCTTACTCCATTCTAGCCACATGGGCCTCCTTGCTAGCCTCTAACACCCCCAGTGTATTCCCGCCTCAGGGCCTTTGCACTTGCTATTCCCTCCACCCAGAATGCTCTTCCTGGAGTCAGCTTCATGGCTAGCTCTTTGCTGCACTCTGTTCCAGTGTCACTTCCCAGCAATAGTAACTCTCTCACCTTACTCTGAGTGATACCTGGCATATATTCTATTGCCTGCCTTCCCACCAGAATGGAAGCTTTGTGAGGGCAAGTTTTATTCACCAATGGAGCCCATCTGGATCTGCTCTGTTCAATACAGCAATCACCAGCCACATGTGGTGACCGAGTCTTAAAAATATGGCTGGCCCAGGGGCACCTGGGTGGCTCAGTAGGCTGGGCATCAGCCTTCTGCTCTGGTCGTGATCCCAAGCTCCTGGGATCGAGTCCTGCAGCTGGCTCCCGAGCAGGGAGCCTGCTTCTCCCTCTCCTCCCCACTCATGCTCTTTCTGTCTCAATCTCTCAAATAGATAGATAAAATCTTTTAAAGAAATGTGGTTGGTCCAAATTGAGATGTGCTCTGAGCATAAAATACACACTAGATTTCAAAGACTTAGTACAAAGAAAGAATAAATATCTCTTTAATATTTTTTTTATATTGACGATGTGTTGAAATAACATTTTGGACACAGTGGGTTAAAGAAAATACATCATTAAAATTAATTTCATCTGTTTCCTTTTACTTTTTTTTAAGTAGCTGATGGAAAATTTTAAATTACACATGTGGCTCACATCCTATGTCTACGGAACAGTGCCTATCTTGAACATCGTCTGGCATAGAGTATGGGCTCAACAAATATTTCTTGAATGAGTACACCTGGAAAACAGCTGGATGTCCACATCTGAGTTTTTTCGCAGCCCAGGCTTTGCACGCATACCTGGCCATTATCAGAGAAATGCTGTTGCACACCACGAGCACAGGTAAGCCCTGGGGCCTCGGGGACAACTTCAGCTCCTCATGAACGCAGATTTACTAAGCATCTCCTCTGGGCTGATGGCGGGGGGCAGTGATGCCATCCAGCAGGCATGCTCTGTCTGGGGAAGTTGGGGTGCCACAGGCATCTAGCTGCACCTTGGGGGCAGGTGCTGTGAGGGAAGGGACCTGTTTGTTCCCAAATGAGACCAAAAGGTAGGTATTAGCTAGGGCGGGAGGCAGGTTGCACAGGCCAAGAAACAGCATGATCAAACTTCTGGAAGGAGATGGGTCACTGTGCCTGGCAAGAAGAGAAAACTCAGTATGGTTTGGAGCACAGATACCGTAGGAAGCCCACACCCTGGGGCTGGGGCAGAACAGGACAGGGTGAGACTCCAGAAGCCTCATTCTGGTGCTGGCCTTACCCTGATGACAGGGAGCCCCTGAGGGCGTGAGCAGGGGGACTAGGAGATCAGGCAGGGTGGGTGGGGGTGGCCTGCTCAAGCAGGGTTGGATAAAGGCCAGGGCAGGGTCAGATGGGGGCCCCTGAAGGTCGCTTAGGTCCTGGGTGATCTTAGGGAGAGCAGCCCCACTGGGGTGGCAAGGGAGTAAGACAGATGGGAGTGGAAAAGAAACAGGAGGGGGACAAGAGGCAGCCACTAGGTAACTCTTGTATCTCCCCAGGAGGGAAGATGGTGGTGTCTGCAGGGAAATGCGGGGCCGGGAGCACGTTTTGGGGCAGATTTCTTTCGAGGATGGAAGGAACTTGGGCGTGTTTATGGACTTGGGGAATAGCAGCAAGGGTAGGGAGGGAAGCTAGGACAGAGCCCTGCCCTCCAACCCTACTGTCCACCCCCACTCTACTTGCAACAAAGGGAGGCCTTGGCCACAGTGCCCAGGCCACCCCGGGAGGGTGTGGGTGGTACCCACAAACCCAGCCGCAGGGAGGCCTGCCCAGGGTGAAGGGGCACCTCTCTTCTCCCTGTATGGGCTCCATCAAGAGGAGAGAGCTTCCTGCAATGCCCCCAAAGGTAAGGAGGGAGCCACGGTGGCTGTCGCTGGCACCTTATCGGCTCTCTCTCTCTCTCTCTCTCACATGCAGTCACCCAGGGCACACAGATGCCTGTACATACACGGAACCCACATGGGCACACACACGCGCACACAGCGAGCCCACACAGGACGCACCCGTGCCCACACACTCGCACACACACAGCTCACACAGGATAAACGCACGCGCGCACACGCAGCTCACACTGGACAGAGGTGTAAATGTGCGCACGCAAAGAGAGAGCCCGCACAGGGGCCACACCCCAGTGTGAACGCCGAGAGGCCCGCGGGAAGCTGGTGTCACGACGACTTTTTCTGGGCACCACCCGAACCTCCACTTCCCTCTCTATGTCCTCTGGGGCGCTTTCTCTCGGTCCCGGGCCTCCGTTCCTGCCCCGGCCCCCACACCACCGAGAGCCCCCGGGAAGGGCTCGGGCAGCGCCCTGTGCCGCCCGCCTCTAGATGGCCAGGTCCTGGCGGATGGTGGCCAGGGACGCCTTGCTGCGGCCGCTGCCGCCCTCGCTGTCGCCGGCGGGGCCCGGGTGCGCGTAGGCGGGCGGGCCGCTGGGGTCGTCGGGGCGCGGGCGGCGGGAGGGCGGGATCGGGGGCAGCGGCGGCGGCGGCAGCGGCGGCGGCGGCGGGAGCAGCTGCTGCGCCTCCTCGTGCGCTCGGTGGCGGCGGCCGTCGCGCTCGGCCCCCTGGCGACAGCGCCCGGCGCGCGGGCGGCCCTTCCAGAGCAGGTGGCCCAACTCGGCCACGCTGAGCAGCGCCGAGAGCAGCCCCACGGCGAAGTAGAAGAGCACGAAGACGGTCTTCTCGGTGGGCCGGCTCACGAAGCAGTCCACGGTGTGCGGGCACGGCGGGCCGGCGCACGCGAAGTGCGGGGCCACGCGGAAGCCGTAGAGCAGCGCCTGGCCCGCCAGGAAGGCCAGCTCGGCCAGCAGGCGCAGCGCCACGCTCAGCAGGTAGCAGCGGCGACGCGGCGGGGGCCCGGGCCCGGCGTCCGCGCCGCCCGCCTCCTTGCCGGCCCGGTGCACCGAGTAGATGACGAAGAGCACGGGCGGCGCCGAGAGCAGCAGGATGTGGAAGAGCCAGAAGCGGTAGTGGGAGACGGGGAAGGCGCGGTCGTAGCACGTCTGGCGGCAGCCCGGCTGCAGCGTGTTGCACACGAACTCCTCCTGCTCGTCCTCGAACACGGCGCCGCCCACCGTGGCCAGCACCAGGATGCGGAAGATCAGCATGACCACCAGCCACAGGCGGCCCACGAGCGGCGACTGCAGCTGCACGGCGTCCAGCAGCGAGCCCAGGAACGCCCACTCGCCCATGGCGCTGCGGACGGACGCGGGGAGGGGGGCGTCAGCGGCGGATCGGCCTCCCCCCAGCCGGTGTCAAGAGATCCGCGAGCCCTCCTCTAACCTGGGGGCTCAGCGAGGCCTGGGTTTAGCTGGGATTTTGTGGGAACTAGGGAGTCAGCAGGGGCTGGGCAGGAGGGGTCAGGAGATTCTCCACTGTGGGTGCCCTTCTCCTTGGGACCGGCAGGTACCGGGGAGGAGCCCCTCCCTGGCGCTCTAGTCAGACACCCAGGGGCCTGCTTGGTTGGACCGCATGCTCCTCCAGAGTCCAGATCTGTAGGGAGTGAACTTGGACATCAGGAAGGGCAGCCACCCACTGCGTTGTAGAAGTAGAAACCCGGGCGTGACCTTATGGGCTCCAGGATGCATTCCGTGGGCAACCGTGGGGCCTCCAGCCCAGGACTCCAGACCCAAGTTGGTGCCCCTGGGAGAGGTGGGAGCCAGTTGATCCAGAGGGACTGCACCTGTTTCCTCTGCTCACCGTTTCTCTTGCCCTTCTTATTGCAGTGAACTCCTCTCAGAATTGTGGGGTGGACACAAAAGTAGTCCCACTTCTTTAACTCTACCTTTGTTCTAGGTGTCCCCTGCCATCCCACCGCAGAGTGGCAGGAATATGGGCCCAGCCCTCTCCATCTCCTCCCTGGTGTCCCTCAACTTCCAGCCTCCCATATCTCCTGAGAACCTCTCCCAACACACACACACTCACACAGGTCCCACAGCCCCCAGGCGCCCCCCAGACCCTCACCTGACCCCACTCACCCTGGAGCTGGAGCTGAGGTGTTAGAGCTGAGGGAGGGATCCTGGGGGATGGCTGGGACTTGTTCCTCCTAGGCCCTCTTTCATTTTCCCTTTTGGATTTGGCCAGGATGGATTACAGGACAGAGTGGCTGAGAGGGGCTTGCTCTCCCCCTTCTCTTAAAGGGACAGGGTGGCCCTGCTGCCTGGCTCCACCCTTGGGAACAGACACAGGGCCATGCCCCTTGCTGGGCTTTGCCAGCCTCCCTTTCTCCCTAACCCACTCCCACCCCCATCCCACTGCTGTGTGTCCTGGGAATGGGGGAGGGGGTTAACCAGAACCAACCGCTTTTGGGGGGGTGCTTATGGAAGCCCATGGAACAGACTCCCTCAAATTGGAAGGCCTAGATGCACTATCAACTGACTGGCACCTTCGAAGCTGGAGAGAAGTTTGGTGTTGAGTTGGGGGCAGCAGCTCTGTCACTGCTGGCTTTGGACAAGTCACTGAGCTCTTCTGGGCCAGTCTCCTGGCTTGTCAGATGAGGACGCTGGGCCATGTGACCCCCAAGTTTCCTTCTAGCTCTATGTCTTAAAGCTAAGGTCCTAGTCATATTACGGAGAACAAAGAAAACCTGTGCCTGGAAAAAAGTCCCATATGGAAACAATTAAGGCATCAAGAGTGATCAGCATTGGTGGTTAAATAAAAGCTTTTGCTTTTTTTCTGCTTTTCTATAATTTCCAGATTTATTATAATAAGTGTGTTATTTTATAATGGGAAAAATAAATAGACTTCTCCTAGAAGGCTCTGAATCACATCCTGTGACTGTAGGTGGCAGGAGAAGCTGTCCCTTAGAAGAGTTAGGTTGACTCATGGTGACCTGAGTGGCCAAGGAGGGGACACCTCCAGGCTGAGACACTTTTTTCATTCCCTGTAGGCCTTTCTAGGAATCTGCCCAACACACACACCATTCCCCTCCACCTGGGCACCTCGTCTTGACCAGGCACTACACTGAGCCCATCATACAGATTAGCTCATTTAGTCCTCTTGTCTACCCTGATGGGAGGGAAGCTGAGACTCGGAGGGTCTCAGCCACTTGCACAGTCACACAGCACATAAGTAGCTGGTCCCTGTCTTGTGCCGGGCTTGACTGCTTGGGGGCCCACGCGCTTGAGCCCATCATGGAACTGCTCTCCCTCTGGCCTGCTTGGGTTTCGCAGGGCCTGACAACCCCAGGGCTTTTGTTGGGCCTAGTTTGCCCAGACACTGGAAGTGGACCATGCCTGCCCGATTCTGAGTGGGGAGGCCAAGACTCTCCCCCTCCACATTTCTTCTTCCCTTCAGCCACGGGAGCCTGTATAATTTTCCATGTGTTGACAGGGAACCCCTGGCCTGATTTCAGGAAGGGCTGGGCAATGTGCCCTTCACTCACACTGGCCCTTCACTCACTTTCCAGCCCAGTCTGGAAAACCCCTAGGCTAATGATGGATGTGCCAGGGAACCCTGCCCACCGTCATGCAGAGTTCCTCTGGGAGTGGGCCTGGGTGGGGAGACACTGCCTTGGACAAAGTCCAAAGGAAAGCACATGCTAGGGCCCCACATTCCAAAACAGGATACGGGGTGGGAGGCATGGCTGACTTTCGCAACCCTGACCTCTGCCTGTTCCTGGCAAAGCTGTTCCCCGACCCCCAACCCCCAGCCCCAGCCATGGGGGCTCAGGGACACACCTCATCTTTCCTGACTGTCCAGGAATGGTCCCTGCCCTGTCCTCATGGCCCCTGCTGGGTCAGGCCACTGGCCCAGCCTGGAAAAACCCCATCAGACCGTCTGCCTGTCGGGAGTGGAAAATGGCAGAGGTGGTGGGCTCGGGTGGGGTAGGCGCATGGTCACCCTGTGCTGTCCCCAGCCCCTGATGCCACAGGGCCAGACATGGGAGACTCTGCAATCTCTGGGGCCCAACCTCCTTCTCAGATAGCGTTGTCCAGCCAGAGAGGAGGTGTCACTGATGCTGTCCAGGGCTGGTGACACATGGCCCCATTCTTGGCCGTACTCAAGATCGGGAGCCGGGCTAAGAGGCCCAACCAGCACAGGGTCCCACTCAATCCCTGTCCCAGACATCTCGCCCTAGCCTGTGGGGCTGTGGAGCCAGTTCCCATTCTGTCACACACGGACACACGTGTTGCCACAGCACGGTCGTACCCAGTAAGTGACATCATCAAGACACAATTGTATTTCCTCTTCCCTGTTGCCCCTCTGACAAGTTTTAGTCTTCACAGAAATGTTGCCTTTTAGTGAGGCCTTCCCTAGCAGCCCTCGCCGGAATTAACCCCTTCCTTCCTGTCCCCTTTCTCAGCCTTATTTCCTTCGCACTGATCACTACCTAACATACTTGGTATTTTTTATTTTGATTTGTTTATCCTGTGTGGCACCATCTCCTCCATTAGTATGTCAGCTCCATGAGAGCAGGGCTCTGGTGTTCTGTTCTCTGCCCTGTGTCAGCACCTGCAACAGTCCCTGGCACCTGGTAGATGCTCAGTAAATTTTTGCCAGGGGGATGAGCGAAGGGGGGTGGGAGGATTGAAGAGGGTGCAGGTCATCTGCGCCCCCAGACCATGATCACGTTGGTGGGTCGCAAGCCTCAGTTGCTCACTCTGCTCTCCTCTAAGGCTTGCGATCGCTGAAATGGCCGATTTGGTCCAAGATCAGTAATCAGAATGTCCAGTCCTGAGTAGAAATGAAAACGCCAAAACGGGTTAATGGCAAAATTCCTCCCTCACTTTCCTTCCCCCTCGGCATGGGTGGGAAAGGTATCGGCCTGAGACGGTGGGTGCGTTCGGTGGGTGCATTCGTTTCTGATTACTCGGTGGCACCTCCCTACCACACCCCACCCCTTCCGTGGCATAGTGTCTGACCCTTCAAACCCTTTCCCGGCCCGAAAACCCTCCGGATAAGCGAACTTCTGTTCACAGGTGGTCCCCGCTCCTCTCTCTTCTCCCCTGGCTTCAGTCTGTGGCTCCCAATACCCGTACCCTACGGTTCTGCGTTTTTGTTTTTTTAAAGATTTTATTTATTTATTTAACAGAGAGAGAGAGAGAGAGAGATCACAAGTAGGCAGAGCAGCAGACAGAGAGGAAGGGAAGCAGGCTCCCTGCTGAGCAGAGAGCCTGATGTGGGGCTCGATCCCAGGACCCTGAGACCATGACCTGAGCCGAAGGCAGAGGCTTAACCCACTGAGCCACCCAGGCGCCCCAGGCTCTGCAGTTTTATCACTCATGGGGAGCTGCCAACCTACTACCTCCTCCCTTGGCTCTGTAACTAAGATTAGGTTCGGCTGTAACAGCAAAACGCAAAAACAGTGGCTTAAACAAGGGCGAAGCTTGTTTCCCTCTCATTTAAAAGGAGGAGGATGGTGGGCTGTCCAGTGGTGCCGGACAGCGCTGTGCTCCAAAGTCCTTACGGGTGCAGGCTCCTCCCAACCCCTCCCACGTTGTGGCCCACGTTCTCCACCGTCTTGTCAGCCGCTCTCCAGGATGCCCACCAAGCGATTAAGGCGGGAGAAGTAAGTGCTAAGACGTCTCTCTCGTAAAGTCCTGGAAGCTGCCACGTGACCGATGCTCACATATCATTGGCCAGGATGACCTTCCGCAAGGAAGGCTGGGAAATGTAGTCTTTTTAAAAAGACCCCTCCCCCCATGGCTTTGCACGCAAGGGGAATTTCAGCTTCAGTATCACAAATCTGCTTCTGTTATTTGATGTGGAGATTCAGAAATGGGGATTTCAGAGAAAGTTTCCCCAAGTCTGCTTCCGCCCCCTAAATAGTTCTATTCAGGTTCTCAGCGGTTTGGATGATGCCCACCCACTTTGTTGAAGGAAATCTGTACTCAATCAACTGATTCAAATGCTAATTTCTTTTGGAGACGACACCCTAAGAGACACACGCAGCTATCTGGGCATCCCTTAACCCAGTCAAGTTGACACACACAGTTAACCATCACATCCTCCTCATATTTGCAATGGTGCCGCACATGAATGAAAGACACATGTGACTGATTCCCGGAGTAGTTAAAGTTCAGCATCATATTAGAACTGGAACCCACATATTACTTTTATAACCTGGAAAAAATTATGGTTATTTTCATTTGGAAAGTAGACATGTAACATTTACTATTTTTATAAACTATAGGAAGATGCAAAGAAGAAAAGAATAAATCACCCAAATCTCATTCTCCAAAGAAAAACAGATGACATTTTGCTGCAACTTGCAGTTGGCCTTTCAATGCACATAGCATTGGTCTCGAACTTCAGGTTGCATTAGAATTAGGGGCGCCTGGGTGGCTCAGTGGGTTAGGGCCTCTGCCTTCCGCTCAGGTCATGATTCCAGGGTCCTGGGATCGAGCCCCACATCTGGCTCTCTGCTCTGCAGGGAGCCTGCTTCCTCCTCTCTCTCTCTCTGCCTACCTGCGATCTCTCTCTGTCAAATAAATAAATGAAATCTTAAAAAAAAAAGAATTAAATGGAGTCCTTCCTTCCTTCCTTCCTTCCTTCCTCTCCACTGACAGCATGGAGCCCAGCATGGGGCTTGAACTCAACTCTGAGATCAAGACCTGAGCTGAGATCAGGAGTCAGACTTAATCAACTGAGCCACCCAGGTGCTCCTAACGGGAGCCCTCTTAAAACAGGTGATTTTGGGGCACCTGGGTGACTCAGTTGTTAATCATCTGCCTTCCGCCAGGGTCATGATCCCCGGGATCCTGGGGTAGAGCCCTGCATTGGGCTCCCTGCTTGGCGGGAAGTCTTCTTCTCCTTCTCCCACTCCCCCTGCTTGTGTTTCCTCTCTTGATATCTCTCTCTCTGTCAAATAAATAAATAAAATCTTTAAAAACAAAGATTTTAAAGATGTTTGTTTTTAAAGGTGCTTTTAAGTTACCCAGTTACCCAGTTCTGGAGTGGGCCTAATAATTGGAATTT